TAGTAACAATAACAGTTATAATAATAGAAACAATGCAGCTGGGAAAGTCAGGATTTCACCCCAAAACTGCCATATACCATCTGTTATTACTACAGAAAAACTATGTCATGACAAAATAGTAACTTTAAATCCCAGCCCTACAAATGATGCACTATTTTGAAATTCTGCAGGAGCAAAGGGTACTCAAAGCATCAGTCTGACTGCAAGTTCAGCACCCTGATGCAGACTTGGAAGCTCCCTTTGCATGCCACATTTAGACATTCAAAAATTGCTAAATGTGACAGTAGAGATTACACTACATGATATATTGCTAGAATCTCTTGCTCTGCTGGTGGATATTACAAGACCACATGCACAGCCGTTTGTAAATATTAAGAATCCCTGGTTTTGCATAGAAAAGTAAATAAGTAAAAACACATTTAGTAAGTATATACCCAAGAAAGTTTTCAGGGAGAGGTAGATTTTTTACACTATTTCTTTGTATTGTTGAATTGAAAACCTCAAAACAAAAATCTTCCTGTGTTTTCTGAAAGTCTTCTCTAATGGGAATCTACTTTCCTTTTCTTAAACTGAGTGAAATCAGTGATAAACTTCTCACACATCTTGGTCTGGACTTTGGACCAGGACACAAGCTTCACTAATAGGGGATGCCCCATTCAACCTTCAGGTTTAATGCTTTGGCAGAGGTACCAAGTGAGAAGCTGTCTGCATGAAAGAAGTTTTATGAGAATGATAAAAGGTTGAACGTGTGTGTTTGTGCTAATATCAGGCTTACAAAACCTACCTCATAGCATAACCATAGAGCTAGACTGGTAGACAGAAGATTGTTGAAATATTTTAGGCTTTACAGTAGGTCTATGATTCTTCAGGGTTCTAAGCATGAAATGCTGGACATAAGCATTAAAAGCCAATAGGAAACATTCAGATTTGAGATTATTGTGAGCTTTGCCTGCATGGGTTTCCTTAAAATGTGCCTTGCATGAATATAAGAAAGAAAGTGTTAGAAGGGAGAATAACATGGACTAAGTAGGATGGAGTGAGTAAGGACGTGCTCCAAAGGCCACTCGAGTCAATGGCAGTGTTTACAGGAGGATTTAGTTAATATTCTGAATTACCCATCCAAAATCTGCACAAAAGCAAAAGGGGTGATTGTAATACCAATTTGCAGAGAAGAGTCTGCTCTGTGTAATCTCATTTTAGCACATATTGAATGAAGTGGACTTACAGTCCTGCTCTACAGCAAGGACTGTGTGTCAGGCTCCCGTCCACAGCTCATCCCTGCAACACACAGGGTCTTTCAGCTTGAACTTCATTGCAAGGAAAGAATGAAACATGTATGTACACACAGACATACATATAAGCATTTTTACATAAACAGAAAAACTACCCCAGTCTGTATTTCTTTGCCTCCAATGTTTCTGTTTCAGAGCCCTACCTGTTCTGTTCGTTCCCATTTGTAACGTTTTGGAAACTAGCAGTGCTATTTGGTGCAGCTGAAGATCAACAACTGACTAGATCAGGACTGTGCAGGAAAGAACCAAAGACTGCTTATAGATCTCTTAAATCTCAGACTGTGGATTGTTATTCCTTAGCAAACGTTTAAAAATTACTCCTTCCACATGCATATAGACATATATATTTAAAACATACATGCATGCATACATATACACAGATAAAGAGTGAGAGAATTTAATATAAGGTCTGATTACCTTTTAAACTAATGCTCCTTTACATATCTCTAGCACTATAAAGAGTCCTTAAAAAGTGAAGATACACAATTTACATTCATTTGAAGGCCATTTCAGTACTGATGAGAAGTGTAACGAGGCCTTAGAGTAACAGAACCAGCCCAACGGTACCCACTGCCACGCTTCCTTTTCATGTTTTACAGATATTTGCATTACAAATGAGATTCCTTAATAACAGGTTGAGTTCTAAATAAAACATCACTACAAATATTAAACTGTAGAGAAGCAATGGCTGGCATATTGAAACAAGACCTTATGGCTAGGTCCTGATCAAGCCAGTCTGTGAGTGACAGATTCCCACTAAACCACTGCTTCTTCCATAACAGAGCTCACTGCATTTAGTGCTTAAGCAATTCTGATTATAAAACCAGCAGAGCTATTCTAACATTTTGTCCACTGGCCCACAGTGCTGAGAAGCACAGGCAGCCGAAGCAGCGCCTTTTAGCCATGTACAATGCCCAGCATAATAAAGCGCAATTGTGTTTTAGGTCTGCTGGTCTCAATTCAGAGAAGAAAGGAAAACTAATAGCTATTAAGATAAATCAAACAGCGTACATAACTGACTTTAACAAAATTATTGCCTTTTATGTCACATATATGCTTAGGAATCCTAATGGAAACGTACGGCTGCATCTTGTCAGACTAAAGGTCCATCTATCTTAGCATTTTGTCTCCAGCTATGAGCGGGCTGCATAGGAAGGAGTGTAAAAGCCTGAGTGTACAGCGATGCTTTCTCAAAATGCTCCCCCAGTCCTGAACTTGAGGTTCAAGGACTTTCTGTGCCAAAGCTTAACAGCTCCTGATTGATTTTGTTTCCATGAAGAGTCACTTTTTGAGCATATGTATATTTTTAGCAACATTACCTCCTGCTCAAAGCTTCATTACATTGTGGGTGAAATGTCTGTCTTTTGTTTTGAACCTGCTACTTGCTAATTTCACTTCATGCCCCCTCGTTCTTGTACTGGGAGGAATGACAAACTGGCTCCCTGCTCACCTTACAAGTTTCTCCGCTTCTGAAGATTATCCTGCAATAGATTATGGCAATGTGCTCTATTTTAATAGGACATCTGTGACACTCTATGCACGACAGCAGAGTGCAACAGTGGCTTTCATGATAATCTTATTCTTAGGATCTCATAACTTCAAAGCTGAAACTTGCATTTTGTATTCTAAAATAAAAAGGACATAGTCAAGTATAGAGGGGAGCCTGCATCAAGGGTAACTAAAACAAAACATCTTCTCCTAAGTGACTACTCCTAAGCTATGCAAAGTTAAATTTTTTGTCTGTATCTGATTGTTTTGATAGAAGGCTGTTAACTTTTTGGTGTCTCTTGGCAAGTTAGGATTCACGTATTTTTGTATGTCTAGCTCATTTTTTTTTCAGTATCTTTTTTTTTTTAATTTATAAATGGAAGAATGAGTTACATTTCTTTTTCAGACACAAGCCATACCATATACCATATTGCGTTCTACTTGTCTTGAATAAGAAACAAGCTTGAACAGTTAGTCATTTCCAGTGTCTGTCAACTAGATACAAGTTCAGTAAAATGAGACATTTTAAACTTTCAGGACTGCCATTTTCAGCAGCAAGAACTTGTATTCACTGTGCACTGCTCCTCAGCAACTTGTCATCTGGAATAAATCTGTTTATTAAGGATTTGGAGAGCTCTGGAAAATATAGCCACAAGTCTTTGAGTGCATTCATGCTCTTTGAACCCACACAACATATTGTGAATTCAGTATAATTTTAACTTGCATTCTTAAAGTGCGATGAAGGTGTGTTCTGTCATCTTTTTTTTTAATGTCTCACTTGACTTTTCTCTTCCTATCTTACCCTCTACTCCGTCTACTGTCTACTATCTTGAAGGTCTCTGATCACTAGAGTCTTAGCGGTCTTCTATCACATTCAGTTCAGTTGATTGCCTAAAAGCCTCTCACTCTTTCAGAGGATTTTCTTTCTCCATGTGCTTTTGTTCTCACTGCGTGCTCACTTCCTCTCTCATCCCTGCTTCAGTCTCTCCCACTTAATGTTTATCTCCATTTCTCATCGTTCCCCACTCCTTTCAGAAGACAGTGAGATGGTCAATTAAGTACCTGGGAAGCCATACCTTGGGCTAAAATATATCTATCCAATCTCTGAGTGCTATAGTTAAAAAATTGGGAATGGTATCTACTGCGGTCATTTTATCCACAGACTAAATGGAAACACTACAAGCCTCAATGATGCTACTGATTGCCAATTACCTCTTAACTGCTAACATGTACATGATACTGGCTTTGCTTTATTGATTTTTATATAGAGAATGATGTATATTTTAGATATTTTTTTCCTTGAAGATAACAAAATGTTACATGTTCCTTCTTATTTCCTTTCAGACTACATAACCAAAATTGATACTTGGTCTAGAAATCTCTAGAGACCACATTATACACAAGGAGTTCATATACCTACCTCTGTGTACAAACATTTAATTTAACGGTTTTTTACATTGGAACTATACGTACTAAGGCACACATTCACATACAAACATCTGTATGTAAACATCCTTGATTTCAACCATTTTCAAAAGATTTCATTCCTCTGAAAGGTTCTGATTGCAAATTTTATGTCAATACACATAAATGCTGCTGTGTTTGGTTCGGGGCAGTGCAGGTAAAAACTGCACAGTCTCACAACCTATGTGTTCCTTGAAGTTTTAACTCATTGTATAGTTTGCAGCACAGCAGTAACTCATAGACCTAAATCCAGCAGTCTTCGTATTTTCATTTCTTCATTATTTGCACATTAGTATCTAGTAGCCAAAATTGACATCACTGTATACTAAACAAACACATGGCAAGAAACAAGCGCTTCCCCTGGAATGTTTTAGGTCTAAGGGTGAGATTTGCAAAATTGCCTAATGGACTTAAAAGCCCAAATCCTCATTTTCAGTTTGTGATCTTACCTTTATCAGAGTTTTTTAAAAGGCAAGGCAGCCAACAAAAAACAAAACAAAACAAAACAAACCCACCACCACCAAAAAAAAACGGGGAAAGGCAGGATTAATATCACAATTTTACAGGCAAGGAACTGAGGCACAGAGAGATTAAATGATTTGCAGAGCGTCACTCTTGGAATCTGACCTCAATTCTCAATTCTCCCAAGTCCCCCTGCACTGCACTACCAACACCATCAACTCTCCAAGTCCTCATGTAGCCTGTGTCATGTCCAAAACACCCTTTAAATCTTCAAGCCCCAGACATCCCACTTACATTTTCACTGTTAACATCTGCCTCACTGGGGCAACCAAAGAGTTCCCGTCTCAGCAAATTCCCATCATATTCCAGGAACGTCAGGTAGAGGTTGCGGAAAAACTCCACGTGCTTGTTTTTCACTCGCAGCTTCTTTGGTGAGTTCCAGTGAATCACCTCAGAGGGGAAAAAAGACAAAACACATCCTGCTGTTAGAATACAGATTTGCTTTATCTGCTGTTTTTATGTGTGGTCAGTTTGCTGCCCTCTTAAAAACAAAAAATCCCCACCCCAAAACTACACAGACTTCCTTCTGTCTTTTCATCAGGAAGGCTTCGCCCACGGGTGACGCGCTTTGAGCCTCCTCCATAGGAGAACCTGCACATTTGAGTTGGTGTGCTGCTCCAGTTTGTGTTCCAGCACCTCCTAAATGCTGCCACAACTCTAATCCCTGACCTGATCAGTTATGGTCTCTCTTGAAGAAGGTGGCAGGACGAGGGACACAGGGATGTAGGTATTAAACATTAATCTCAGATTTCCATATGACTGTTTCAGCTAATGAAATTGATTCACTGTTTCAGGCCAGATGCACTTCTCTGGTTAGATACTGAGCAGAAAAAGCTTGAAATTAATTCCTATACCCATTTACACCCTTCAAATAAGACTGAATTTAATCTGACTTCCTTCTTGCATTGCTTCATTTAAACATGACTGATCTCAGTAGCATTACACAACACAGGAATGCAGTACAATGCTTCACCCTTTGAATTCCAATTTCTAGCAGGTATTTAGCCTCTGCTAATGGGAGCTGCCTCTCGTACTGGTCTAGATACAACTCCAGTGCTGACATAAAGGGCTTGATTCAAGGCAACTTCGCACTGCTGCCAGTTGAATAAGAATGGGCCCTTAAGGAAAAACAAAGAGGGAGCCAAAAGTGGCTTGCAGAAATTATTTCATTTTATAGAGGCTATATTTTAGGCGTAAGGAAAAAAAAAAAAACCAAATGCTTTGCATTTAGTTTTATTTCCGTGGCTTCTAAAGATATTTAAAAAAAAAAAAAAGTCTCCCTTGGGAATATTTCCAAGCTAGGAGTTCTGGAGGTTCTCTGAATCCATTAAGTTAATTGCATGAAGGCACTGTGTCACTCACACACAGCCACGGAGCTGCAACTCCAGCTGCCAAGCTGGTCGCGCGGGAAGCTTTGCTCCGAACATTGCATTTGTGGGAGGGAAGGCACAGAGCTCAAGCGCAGCATGTAGCACAGGAGCAGCCCAGAGCAGATGAAGGCGGTTCCCTTGGTCTTGGCAAAACAGCTCCACAGGAACAGGGAGCCCCCTGAAATCACGCTATCTGGTGCCAAATGAGCGGACTGGAGGAGGAAAGAAAGGACGGAGCCTGAATTCTTCCCATACATAACAACATAGTTTCTCCACTAAGTATTTATATTGCCATAAAAGCTACGTCAGTCTCTTCTACATATCCAGCACCAAGGTGCGTATCTCCTGATAATGAAGGATTTATCCCTTCATGGGATTTCACTGTTGAGGCTACTAGGATGTCCGAACAACGTACATGCACAAAAGCAACTGTAGGGGAAAAAAGATAATTTCCAAAATTGGCAAATCATTTTTTCCAGTTACAGGAAACACTATGAATCAAAATCATGATTAAATCTACACACTGTATAAACCTGTGAGATTATTTAGACATAAAATATTCGGTGTAGAGATTTTCCTCAAAAACTCCTTTCTTTGTAAAGAGCTTGCCATATTTCCTCCGTTGCATTTGATTGCAGCAAAACGTATTAAAAGCATGCAAAATATCTCAACGACTCAATCCTACCTCAGGGAAACGGGCATGTGTAACAGCAGCATAGAGCTGAAGGAACTTAAAAGGGCTGCTTAACAGTTTTACAGGGCACTAGCATGCACTTCTACAAGCAGGCACAGAATGGAAACTGCCTGCTGATAACCTGCACTTAATTTAAGAGTGGGTCAAAGAAGGCTGAGAAGCTGGCAAATGGGACAAAAACATAATTACTAAGAAAAATCTTCTGCGTGTTCTTCCTACTACTCCATGGGAGTTTCCTTCTGGATGTGTTCATGATCATCCTATCCCTGCCCTGAGCACTCCGACCACTCACCCTGGGGACCATGAGCACAGAAATGGCCAATGATGATACACTCAGTAAGTGTTACAGGACAGGCTCCCCAGTGTTGCAGGAATTTCCCATCAACGTACACTGTGTCACATCCCAGCCACATACTGGTGTTGATGGCTCTACCCAGTTGTGGAGGGGAGGATGTCAAAGCCAGACAACTGCAGTTGTCAGAGTAGAGGCTCGTTGCTGCTGTGCTTTAAAATCTGTTGTGTGTGTAAAAGCTGGCAGGTGTCAAGGGCCTAGCTGGTGGTTCAGATCTGATCAGATTTGAAATGTGTCAGGATGCTGCATGTGTACAAATGTCAGGGGAGCCTGGAGTGAACTGAAGAAAGCTGAATGGAGCTGATGACTGTCCAGAAAAGCTCATTTTTTAATCAAGGAAGACAGCACACGCCAATGCAACTCAGGAACGTCAAGGAACTATGCAACCATCTGGATGACCTGAGGTAGGAAAACCATAAAACAGGTCTAGTAAAAAAGCAGGCTGCTTTTCAAATGTATGGTTAGATAAATATTATGGGATACCTGAAAACATAAAAAAGAAGAGCAGGTTTTAAAAATCACGAAGACTCTTAACCATTGACATACAACACCACATCCAAAGACCATTTTTTTTCTTTTCTGTCAGCCCACAGATTTACCTTCAGTTCTGACTGTAGCTGTCTGGTTTGATTCATTGCTCCATCAGCCACAGCAGAGGTTTTACAGGCCAAGACATCCTTACATAGGCTGTCATGGGCATCAGTGATGTACGTGATGAAGTCAATGGGCCACACAGGTAAAGCTATGGCCAAAGCATTTGAAACTTTATTGTGGGCAACAGTGAATTGATTGGAGAAAAAAAAGTATCAGTTGGAAAGAGACTTCAGGGAAATCAGAAGGAAAAGTCAAACTCAGAATCTTATTTGCAGGCTGAGCAGGCTTTATCTCAATACTGAAAAGAGAAAGCAGATCTAGAAACTAAAAATCTCATTACTACAACATCCACTTTCCATGACTGAACAGCACCATAATACTGTGCTTATATCTTTTTCTATTTTCCTTCCTAGTATCTTAGCTATTCCAAAGCTCTATTGGCTTACAGAGGAAACTGCAGCTAGAACACATAAAATTCCAGTGCCATTATCTAGGTGGACACCTCAGAAACAGTGCCAGCCTTCACGCTGTCCCACGGATCTTTCCACTCTTCATCAAGGTCTCCTGAGAACTAAGAAAACTACGCTCCTTAATCTTCATTTAGCAATTTAAGTGCTGAAAGATCAGAACTTAAAATTCCACATCTATTTAACACTTGGTTAGTTGTCATTAAGCAACCTGGCACTATCTGCATTTCTGTTAATAACATTCTAGTTAATCAGCAACCGTTACCACTCACTGTGATTACGCTCAGCCAGCCTCCTGGAATACTTCCATACAGTTGTGACCTAGTGAAACAGCCTAACTGCGCTGATAGTTCCCGTTTATTCACCAGGTTCTGACCCAAAGCACTCAAACGATGACATAGTTGGAACCTCATAGACTGACAATAGGATCCAAGATGAAAGGTAACAGAGGATGATACATGCTGGTGGAGTGTAGGAGAGGGGTCTGAGGTCAGTTAACTGCATGGAAATACACTGAAAACAAAAATCCTAGCAAACCTCCTTAGGTTACCAGCTGCATTGTCCTCTCTGGGGAGATTAAATATTTCAAATCTGACATTCAAACCACTAAATGATAGTCTTCAACACAACTTTATTTCTACAGGTACCCTTTATCCATTTTTCCCCTGAAGCATCTCTCTCCAGAAGAATTATTTGTCCAGATGTTTCCTTAACCACAACCTCTTCCATTTTTTATCCAAAAGCACATCTTGATAATTTCTCAGTCTCCTTCAGCCCTGACAAAACCAGAGAATACACGATATCCTGTATATATATACATATATATATATATGCACCTACTTTCCAGGCTGAAAGGTTTAAAAGTAAGAATAAATTAAGCTTAAATTTAAACCTAAAGAAAGGCAAAGCATTGAACAGATATTCTTAAGGAAACCCATGTGCACTTCACAAATTTAGTTAAGTAAAAGTGGCATTTTATAGATGGGGAGCTTTCCTGCTTAAAAACTAGGCTCCTTCTTTAGGCAACCAGACAGTTCCCACTGAAATCAACAGGAGTTAAATGTTCAGCAAATTTGCTCAGTAAAGCCACCTTTATAAGCCACTTCAATGCCATCTCAATAGGCTTTTTTCCAGGCACAGGTTATTGAAAAGTTTAAATATGCCCCAAGTCACACTGCAAACAAGCACCACATGTGTAACTTATACCTTGATTAGAGATGTCTGGAAACTTTATTTTTAAACTATGTTTTATCAGGAATGAATGGTTTAATAAAAGAACCAATTTCCTCAGAAAGGATCAAATACTTCACAAAAATGTCATCAGGGAGGTTTCAGACTGGTAGTTCTGAACTACATAAGTAGAAGAGACTCATGTTGGAGTATCCAGCAACCCAGAGGTCCAGGCACTGCTTTTGGACTTGGGACTCAAATCCTTGTCCTACCTGACCTAGTGCCCACGGTCCCAGGGACTACTTTACCTCCCCAGTTTACTGCTTATACTGTAAGACAGTAAGCTGACAGACTGTCACTTTTCACCAAAGTTCTCAGTTCTTCCTCAAAAGGCTTTGCAGCTCTCCAACTCCTGTTCAACAAGAGGCCTCCTGACTGTAAAAACACCTCCAATACCACAGTGCTCCTTCCTTTTTGGCAGAGTGGAAGCACCTTTCTGACTTCAATGTTCATTCAAGGGAGGTGTCTAGGTTTAACCCCCTTGATCCCCTACACCCCTCAGTGTAGCTCTTCCCGGTTGGCATTAAATGGTGGAAGGCAGCAGAATGCCAGAGCTGCTGCAGATCAATGCTGAGGTGCTTGGACAGCATGGGGTGGCTCAAGCACTGTGACATAAAGAGGTGCAGTAGGTTACATTCCAGGCTGATCTGAAATTATGGATTTGGGTTATGGACAAGAAGCTGTTTAAACTTTGGTCAGCAGTCTCACCAAATTGTTCTAGTGTGGAGGACGTTCACAGGGAGGATACAGTGAATCACAAACTCCCCCACTCTGAAACTGTGTTATGAGGTTAATTATTTATCTATCTACTAATTTTGTATCAGCTGTGTTCAAAACTAGTTTGAAAAGTCATTAACAGGATTTAAAACATTTTCCTGTTTGGAGGGTGGGGTGAGTGCAAATTTTAATAATTTGACACATTCCTATTGAAGAGTCCAGCATCTGATTTTTGTGATTGTGAATTACCAGATTCTCTGTGTACAAATAGCATCTGTATCCTTGACAACCAGATGTCTCTTCATGACTGACTCATTCAGTGAGGTCATGATTCATTGTCAGAAGCATCACAATTCATTACCTTCTTTCATAGGATTTTTCTTGCCATTTGGCTTGTGCCAAATCATAGTAATTGATACTTCCTTATGGACAGGAACAAGCTATTAACCAAGAAGGAAAGCAAACTCAGGACCCAACCCAGCAGAAGTGATGCATCAATGAACCTCAGTCCCAGACAGAACCCCCTGGGCTTCCTAGCTCAACAAGGCATGGTCCTACAGCACATATTCTTGTCCACCAACATTGCAGGTGGTATACAGGGGACCATGTGAGGAGCGAAGATAAGCAAGATAGGCAGTGGATGCCTACAGAGAATGACTATTAGCACTTCCACATCTTTTGGGCAACCTTCAATAACAGCACCTGAGTGGTTTCTCCAGTGTGTAACAAATGCCATGCAAAAATAAACACCTCTGGCCTTTAGAGGCTGCAGTTGGCTCACTTGGCAAAAAGAATGAAAGGGCATCTGCTTCCTCTTAGCCCACAGTTGTTTTTTATTAAAATTGCTCATTTCAAGACATTCTTGACTGATGCAAAGCATCCTTAAAACATGTGCCCTCAGGGTGGAGAAAGGAAGATTTTTGTAAGTGTAATTGTTTACGTAAGTTTTGGTTCCATATGCCACAGACAGCAGAACACAGCCCAGACTTCAGTCTAGTTGTGTACAGTGTAGCCTCAAGCATTATATAGTATGACACAGGATGTTAAATAAGCACTTAGATCAATAAAAATAATATAGTAGTCTTCCTCTGATGTTGCTTTAGACAGACATAAAGTTAGAGGTCATTAACAATGCAGAACTTTGTTATAAATATTTCTGTTCTTCTCGTGCTTTTTTTGAAAGATCCCCATATGCAAGTCTTCTCAAATTTGTACATGCTGCTCAACTGCAGCAGGAGACTTCAGTAGTCATACATTTGGCCTTCCCTAACATAAGTCAGTCAAAACCAACCAACCAACCAACAAAACCTCACAAAAAAACCCAACCAAAAAAAACCCCCAAAATAATAAAATGGATAGAGATTCAACTTAATGAGAACTATAAAGAGGAAAAAAGTGATTAGATTCCTGTTCAGGCAATATAAAATATTCAGGTGTTCCACAGGCCTGCAAAAAATATGTTTGTGTGACTGAAAAAAGCAGCAAAAAAAGTGTGTATATATACACATACACACACCTGAACAGCAGCCAGCCCTGGGGGTCTAAGTTTATTTAACACAATTTTGTGTGTAAGAGTTGACAAATCCTCAAGTCCCATGGACTTTGAAGCCAGACAGAATTAAACTAGTGCCTTTTCAGCCTGACATGAGGAATGCAGTCTGATTTAACTGAGGAATATTTGACTGGGCCAGCTTTACGTTGGAATTTAAATCTCTTCCTGCATATCCTTCTTTCCTATGCTATGCTTCTTAATCCCCCAGTACAAACTTCACAATCTGTCTTTCTCTCCCCCTTACCCTGGAGGTTTCTCTTACCTCGTTTCTTATTCCAGTCTTACCATGAAATACAGGATGTGCCAAATATGTTGTGTCATACCATTTATATTAAATGCCATGGAACTGACTAACTTTGGTGATTTTAAGAGTGTATTTTCTAACGTGGGCTAACAACATTTGTTGCTTTTTTGAGGACCACATACCAAACCAGCTGGTTTCTCTTCAGAACTAGAATTTTGCTAATTTTCATAATGCAAATTCACAACTTTAAAAAAAATCATAAACCAATTAATTGTATGAAGAGTTTTAAACAGTGCTGCCTGAGGGCCAGTTCTGTAACTGCTGAGTATCGAAGAGCATTATTGGAACCAGCAAGCTTATGTGCACTAGATAAGGCTCTGTCCTCTTTCAAAGCAAAGAATTTCAGCCCCAGTTCAGTATTTAGGGGATAATTTTAGCACTGTGAATAAGTCCAGTTCAGATGAAGAAATTGCTTCTATGTCTGCACCCCTTGTTCAGTTAAATACCTCAGTATTTAAAGCTAGTGGAGAAGCTCATTACTTAAAGCCAGTGGACTATATTATGCATCTTAGACTTCATTGCCTATGCTGTAATAGAGCTGACAGTGCAATACATATACAGTAATAAACAACCAAGCCTAAGTTATACTTGTAAACATAAATGTGTTAATCAACAATGAGGCAAGGATCCAATTTATTTTTAAGATACTTCCATTAAATTCTTACTTGTAGGAGTTACATATGAGCTAGATGACCCACACTTGATTGGAATTAGTCAATGTAGTAACTGGAGCTTAGAGAGTGATTTGACTGATTAGTTGTCAGATAACTACTCTGAGGTGAGCCTAACCAGTCTCCAAAACCACTCACGGGGAGCACAATCCAGTTGCCTGAATACACATAGGCAGTAACACTGAAAGCACCTTAGGGTTACCCTGTCTGCCCATCAGCTGGCTTGCCAAAAGGGTATTGTCTCCTGCAAGCCTGTTGTATCTGCCAGTCCCATATAGATATCCAAGATTATGGTGACTCAAACTGTGTTTAGACAACTGAACCAAACCCTTGGTCCTCAGTTATTAGCTTCAGTAGCTTGTTTTCCATGGAAATGTTTTCCTTAACCTTGTGCTGAGTCCCATCTGACTGCCTCTGTGGATTATACAAATTAACGTAAGCCCCTAATTCACAGAAAAATGCTGTGATATCTCCCAGGTAGGAGGTGTATTTTTCTGTATTTCATCTTTTAGAAAATATTTTCCCTGCTACATCTCTCTTTTTGTTTCAGACTTTGCAATTGCTGTCATACCTGATATTCAATATGAGCACAGAACTAAATCTCTACCAGCACTTTGCTACAAGTCATAACACCATGAAGCTTTAAGTTCTTGCGTAGATCCTGCCCTACAAACATCTATTACAAAATATTTAGTGATTGAGGTACTGACCAGTATACTTATCTAACTTTACAAGCTGTCTTCCATGGACCACACCTAAATAGTTAGTTGTGAATACTTTACATATGAAATTCAAGTAATACTGGCCAGCTTTGACAGGTCAGTTAACCCATGTAGTAGAATCATATAATATTTTGGGTTTGAAGGGACCTTTAAAGGTTATCTAGTCCAACCCTCTGCAACGAGCAGGGGCCCCTTCCACTACATCATGTTGCTCAGAGCCCTGTCCAACCTGGCCTTGAATGTTTCCAGGGATGGGGTATCTACCCCCTTTTAAAGGCATTACCCCTTGTCCTAGGACAACAGACCCTGCTAAAAAGTTTGTCCCCAGTCAAGATCTTCTGTCTTTTGGGAATTGCAGGTTTTGAAATCAGTGTGTCAAGGGTAATTGATTTTCTATATTCATCCATTACCTGATGTTTAAACTGAACATTCCTGCACTACAAATTGTTACAAGGGAAAATTTGGTTAGATTTAGGAAATACGTTGCACCATGAGGACGGTCAAACTCTGGAACAGGGGGCCAGGGAGGTTGCGGAACCTGAGCCTTTGGAGACTTGACACTCAACCGAACAAGGCACTGAGCAACATGATCTAAGTTGCTCCTGCTCTCAGTGGTGTTTGGATGGTCTCCAGAGGTCTCCTGCAACCTGTTCTATGGTTCTGCAGGTTGGGTGTTGGTTTTTTTTTTTTTTAACCACATTTACTAAAGCATTCTCAAAACAGAAATTAAGCATATGAACCTTAACTGAATTTTAAAGCAAAACACCAAAACCTACCCAATATTTACTGTATTCTGATGTAGATTCTACGTAGATTCTACGGAATCTACTGCTGTTTAGCCAGCCAGTCTTATTCTACACATTGTATAAGCTCAATCAGCTCCAATTCTAAACTTCCTGCATGCTACATTTGATCTGGCCTTTCAAAATGACCACAGCACAATTGATATTAATTTACCCATAACTGTTCAAATATTTATTTTCTACTTAACAATAGTGAAAAATGTGCTATTAAACTGATGCTGTAAGCTTCATTTTATTAAATTAATAGGTTTCTACTCAGCCTTTTTTTCCCAGGGCAAATCCTGGAAAAATGAGTGGCAGTGTGACTGGGTTAATTGTACGCAACAGCTAAATACAAAGTGTGCAATGTCTTTAAATTTTGGCTAATGTATTTCTAGCTAGGGTCTGCCCAACACTTCGTGAATTTCACTCTATTAAATGATGCTGACTAAACAGTTTCAAACTTGTTCAGTACAACAACAACAAAAAAGATTTTTTATTCTTTGGCTAGGAAGAGCTAAGAACTGGGACAACAGTAGGAACTCAGTGCTGTAGGTGACAGGTACCGAACATAAGAAGTTGAAGCACCTCTATAACCCCTTGCCAAACCCCAAAGCAGCACCCATCTTTGACGTTTTTAGCAGTCAAAATGCAGAAAGCCAAAGTCATATTTGCTTCCACTGCTTGGGTGTCCTCGTAAAGTGTATGTGTTATTTTCCCCCTAGTTAAGGGACTTCATCTTTCTGTTACAGTCGAGTCCTGCAGTCTCTGTCCCAAAGGATACCAGCCATACGACCTCGTGTGAAACATACCTTCAGGTCAGACACATCTCTATAGCACTGCTCGGAACGTGTGTGATCAGACAGCTGCACATTCCAGAAACATGGGAGCTGGTAGACAAGGAATGGATTTTGTTTGATGACTGCATTGAAGATATCCTAGCAGACAAAAACAGAGAAACGGTTGGGAAAGTTATTTCTACAGTAAATCTACCCCATCCTCCCTGAGCTGACTGTCCTTCTCCCCTTCACAGGGAGAAATGAAAACAGTTATGGGAGGTGAACTCTGCAAACCTTGCTCCATAATTCTGTTTCCATGGAAGATGCTATCAATCTAAGGGGCAACATGTAGATCTGAACTAAAGGAACAGGCTCTCTTGACACAGAGCTAAGCAAAGTTTGACTCCAGCAAAGTTTTCACAAGCTTTATCTTGTACTGGTGGCAACAGACGTGGTTCCTCTTCCAGTCACCAGAGAGTGAAATATTCAGGAAATTACAAACTGCCTGCTGTTAGTAAGTGCTGAGTAACTTCTCAATAAAGGGGACAAAAGTGATCATGACAGTTGTACTGTTTCTAGGTGAATTACTATGTGGAATTTCAGCTAGCATTTTATTGTTGCAACAAGTATTCTAGGTGTTTCATGGAATGGGCATGTAGGACAGATCTGCAGAACAGCCTACATACACCATAAGGGATTACCTCTACCTTTATGCAGCTATACAGCTGGGGAAGTAAGTTACAAGGACAGTTTGGTGGTTGTTATTAGGGTAAGGCATAAGTAACTTCGGTTTACTCTGCAAAATTCTGCCCTGTGCAAGTATTAGACAGCAACTCAGGACCTGACTAAAAACACAGTTAAGTTGCAAGATTAATTTTAATGATCTTCAGTAGCTTCTGGATCACTCTGGTAGGATACTGTACACAAGTGCACATCCCTATGTGCACAGTAAGCAGAACACTTCCTTAGTGGTGACTGGTCATAAGCCAGATGTAGATATTTCTGCTGCTTCTGAGCTAAATATGATGCTGCTTTGAGTTAATACACCAAAGCTGTTGAGCAAGACTTATTGGTTCAGGTCCAGTACTACATTAATAGGGTTTCTGGATTTAAAACCATGAGCTGGCAGGAAGCACAAAGAGAGCAAATATGTATTTCTGTGTATAGGCACACTATTTCTTTTCTTGGCCTCAGTTTCCCATCTGTGGCGGGCAACAGCAGCGCTTTTGTATTCACAGGGGTGTTGTGGCAAGGAGTACACTGAAAGACTGCTAGGACTCACGTGTGAGAAGCAATAAAGAAATATCCGAAAATTCTTAAAACTGAAGCCTGCTTAGACAATAACCAGTAGGAAAATAAATAGTATACTTGGACTTGAGTATCTGGAGAGTTTTATATTAAAGAAAGGAGGACAGAAAATTAAAGCCTGAAAACCCCATTTCTCTCTTACAAATCATCTGTGCAAAGCAGGTAGAAGTGTCAGTGTAGTAAGAGAATTATCATGAACAAATGTCCGTCCATTCCTCTCTTCCATGCTTTCCTCAGAACAATTCAACAAATGGTGACTACAGGCACATTTCCCCCTACTCCACCCTGTTCCCACATCTCATCCCCCTTCCCTTTCTTACCTTCCTCAATCCATGAAGTAGTGGGCATTACCACACTGCCACAATGTCTTACTCACCTGGTCAGCCAGGGAAGTGGACAGCATGCTCATTAACTCCCGCTCTGCCGTAAGCCTCCACATCTGCTCCCATTTCATCTTTCGTAACTTGTCCAGAAGCAGCAAGATAACCCCTGAAAGAAAACAGTGCAGAGAACAAGAGAAGCCATGACATCACATGCCAGTCAAGGCCCTTCCCATCTTTGTGCTGACTCAGCAGTAAACACAAGGACACGAGCAGAGCTCTACCAGTAAAAACTACAGTCCTTACCTTGTGCTAACATAGTTTGACTAAAAATAAACTTCAGGTTTCAAGATGTCACTAAGAAAAGGTTTTCCTGAGCCCACAGAGAGGAAACAGAGAGAGATAGCATACAGACACATGCTAGGTTATAGAGACTTGCAAGAAGGCTAATACAGCCAAAAAGGAGCAAAACTGGGAAGAAGAGAGAAACTGGGAAGAAGAGAAACAAGAGAAGGATGTTGTATTTGTAGCAGGCTCCTTAAATGACACAGCTTGATTTAATTAAGACATGATTAGCACTGGGAATATTCCTTACAAAATGAGCCAATTCAGGTAATTCACGTGATGGAGGTTAACTCCATCTAAAGGTTATTCTCCAAAGAGAATTAGACAATACCCTATAAGAAAGAAAGAACTTCCTAACACTCAGAAAAGACCCTCCCCACTCTGTATTCTGAAAAGCTACAGGCTCCAAGAGGATATTCTGTCAAGTCACTGTCTACTAGGG